TTGAAAATGTCGGGCTGCAAGGCAGAGATGTGATGTTTGTGAGCTATGCCAGGATTTTTCACTGAGCCCCCGGAGGACCAGATTTCACCTCAGCTCATTTTGTGTGCATTAAATACCTTTCAGCTTGTGGCCCTGGTGTTTCATTCCATCTCCCAATCAGATATATGGACAAAATGGTGAAACGCTTACAGATGTGTGGCTCTGTGTGTCTGGCTTTTTCTTTGCGGGGCTGTTCAGGGTCCACCCCAGAGTTAAGCTGAGGTCATTAAAGGTGCCTCTACCTACTTTTAGGAAAAATCATTACCTATTCTACTGATACTTACAAAGTAAAAGCATTTGACTATTGGTATACCCTACTGTTTTCATGGTGATCATTGCTTATTTTGTTTTCTGGTTGCGTTAACAGTTGCTTTTAACTTTAGTAATTATCTTCTGATATTTTCTTTGGGTTTATTTCATCCCCTCCCCACCCCTTGCTATTTTTTTTTTTTTTTTTAGTTGAAAGCCTGGTTTAGTTAACTACTTTCTTGTTGTCTAACACATCCATTTAAGGTTATGCATTTTCCTCTGAGAATAGCTTTGGCTGTATCCTATCACTTTTGCTCTGCAAAAACCTTAACATTCACTTCTACATAGTTTGCAATTTCCACTTTGATTTTCTCTTTAAAAGTATGAGTTTAAATTACCAAGTGTGCATACACACACACACACATATAGATAGGTAGTCTGGGGGCCAATTTGGGGTTATTTATTTCTAATTTCATAGGATTTATGGAGTTAAAGGTGCTTCATTAACTATCAACTTAAAATCTTGAGACATGTTTTTTTTGCAGTCTGGTACATTGTAAATTAGAAGACGGTGGTAGAGATTGAGATGGTTGGGAAATATCACCAACTCAATGGACGTGAATTTGAGCAATGTCCGGAAGATAGTGAAGGATAGGAAAGCCTGATATGCTGCAGTCCATTGGGCCACAAAGAGTTGTACATGACTTAGCGACTCAACAACAACAACAACAACAACAACAACAATGTAGTCGATAATAAAAATATCTACTTAAAGATCATATGTAGCCTGTCTATATTATTTAGATTGATCAGATATTCTAGATTAGTTTCCTGCTTCATCTTTTAATTTATCCTTTTTGGTTGGTGTTTCTGTGAGGATGCTCTTTTAGGATTAGTTTTTCTTCTTGCTTATTTCTACCACCAAGGCAGAAATTCCAAAGTAACAAGAATAAAAAGGAATAACCCCTTCATCACCTCTCTGGATTAGTCAAGGGAATGGGTCTGACAGTGAGACTTTATAATGAGCTGGTCGATGCAGTGAAACTGCCCATGGCGAGGACGTTTCTGCAAAGGCAGAGGATCTGCCTCTGGACTCTTATCAGGGGGTGGTGGTGGTTGCGTTGGTTGGCTTCTTAATGAAGCATTTCTAGAAACGCTGAACTTTGTCCTCTGGGAGGGAAAAAACATTCTAGCAACCACATCATCAACCAGCATGCTTTTAGAAAAGGACTTTTGAAAAGGACTGGGGAAAAAATATATATAAAATTAAGGTCATCTCTGAGGTCTTTGGCTGAGCTGAATAAACCTTGAAGCAAAAATCGTATCTTTCTCGGAAGCTTATCGCAGAGCTTTAGAGGTCTGTGAGAAAGAACAGTACTTTGAACCAAAGGCTTGATTGGTAGCATAAAACATTAGAGGTGGTTCTAATAACTGCAGGGGCTACTGGGAAGCACTTCTGGAGGGACTCGTGATACAGTCCTGCACTCCCAGGCATCTCCGCAACCCCTTATCTAGCTGGGAAGCACGAACAGGCTGGATCTAGGTTGGGTCCTTTCTTTCCTCTTCAGACTAAACTGTAGCCTCTGAAGGCTTTGGAGGAAGTGACAGGGAGGTGGGTGTGCATAACTCTTCACTTAACTGAACTCTCTCTCAGAGAGAGAGTGGCAGCCTCTCTCTCCCACTTTCCACTGTCCTAAAGATGTCACTGTTCTTCCTTTCTGTGTGACAGAGCTTTTGACAGCAGGCTCCACCCTGTCCTCCCTAGCACTTCTGTTTCATATGCCTCTTTTAACACATGAGGTCATGCACTGTTATCTTGGAAATGCATCTACCTGGTCTGAAGTCACTGGACTGGTAGAAGGTGGAGCATACTTTTGACTCCCCTGATATGTTATATACCCCCTGTTTTTTGTTTTGTTTTTTCAAATCTCATTCAGTTGCTCTGGGGCTGGTTGTCCCATGTTTTGAGTAGAGGAATCATTACCATAATTAGATACTGTTGTTAGTGTTCTTCAGAGAAACAGAACCAAAAGAATAGGTTATATAGGTGTATAGATACACACACACATACATTTATTGCAAAGAGTTGGCTTATACAGTGATGGAGACTCACAAGTCCCAAGAACTGCACTTGACAAGCTGGAGGCCCAGGAGGGTCAGTGAGGTAGAGTTCTAATCCAAGGCTACATGCCTGAGAACCAGGAGAATGGATGGTTTAAGTGCAGGCTGTGTCTGTGTCCAAAGGAGAAGACCAGTGTCCCTGCTGGAAGACATTGAGGCAGAGAGACTAGAAATTCTCCCTCACTCAGCCTTTTTGTTCTATTAGGTCTTCAAGGACTTGGGTGGGGCTTAGGGGAGGGAAGTCTGCTTTACTCAGTCCACTGATTCAGATATTAATCTCCTCTAGAAGCACTTCCATAGACACACCCAGAATAGTATTTAATCAGATATCAGGACACTCTCTTGCCGGGTCACATTGATGCATAAAATTAACCATCACACAGGCTTACGAATAAAGGACCCACCTGCCAATGCAGGAGACACGAGATGCAAGTTCCGTCCCAGGGTCAGGAAGATCCCCGGGAGGAGGGCATGACAACCCACCCCAGTATTCTTGCCTGGAGAATCTCATGGACAGAGGAGCCTGGCAGGCTACAGTCCATGGGGTCACAAGGAGTCAGACATGACTACAGCAACTTAGCACGCAGGGGACTCTCTTGTCCAGTCATGTTGATGCATAAAATAATATATACAGTTGTGGATATAGTATTCATGCTACATTACAAAATTTAAGTTCAAATGACCCTTGCCCATTCAGTCTGAGCACCCATATAAACATCTGGACCAGGCAACAAGCACGTCTCAACTTAAAACTAAGTGCTACAAAGTGAAATGTTACTATACAAACCTGAACACTCTAGAGGGTAGGGTTTTCCTATTACCCTGATGGAATCTGGGTCCTCTAGTGAAGCCTTGAGGAATCTGTCTCATCCCACTGCTTTCCTCTGTTTTGCTTTCTTCTCAGACAGGCTGTCTCTTGAGGTAGAGTTCTAATCCAAGGCTACATGCCTGAGAACCAGGAGAATGGATGGTTTAAGTGCAGGCTGTGTCTGTGTCCAAAGGAGAAGACCAGTGTCCCTGCTGGAAGACATTGAGGCAGAGAGACTAGAAATTCTCCCTCACTCAGCCTTTTTGTTCTATTAGGTCTTCAAGGACTTGGGTGGGGCTTAGGGGAGGGAAGTCTGCTTTACTCAGTCCACTGATTCAGATATTAATCTCCTCTAGAAGCACTTCCATAGACACACCCAGAATAGTATTTAATCAGATATCAGGACACTCTCTTGCCGGGTCACATTGATGCATAAAATTAACCATCACACAGGCTTACCAATAAAGGACCCACCTGCCAATGCAGGAGACACGAGATGCAAGTTCCGTCCCAGGGTCAGGAAGATCCCCGGGAGGAGGGCATGACAACCCACCCCAGTATTCTTGCCTGGAGAATCTCATGGACAGAGGAGCCTGGCAGGCTACAGTCCATGGGGTCACAAGGAGTCAGACATGACTACAGCAACTTAGCACGCAGGGGACTCTCTTGTCCAGTCATGTTGATGCATAAAATAATATATACAGTTGTGGATATAGTATTCATGCTACATTACAAAATTTAAGTTCAAATGACCCTTGCCCATTCAGTCTGAGCACCCATATAAACATCTGGACCAGGCAACAAGCACGTCTCAACTTAAAACTAAGTGCTACAAAGTGAAATGTTACTATACAAACCTGAACACTCTAGAGGGTAGGGTTTTCCTATTACCCTGATGGAATCTGGGTCCTCTAGTGAAGCCTTGAGGAATCTGTCTCATCCCACTGCTTTCCTCTGTTTTGCTTTCTTCTCAGACAGGCTGTCTCTTCTCAGTGGGATAATGCGCACCAGCAGCTCCAGATTTGAGTTTACACCACCTTTGCCCACCCACCCCCAAGGGGGAGCTAAGTTTCTGCAAAAGCCCCAGGGTGTCTGTCCCTTGGGTTGTCCCGGGTCAGACACCCATCCCTAAACCAGTCCTGTCAGAGGAAGAGTAAGCTGACGGCCTGAGGTCAAGGCGCAGCGGAGGATCATGAGGAAGGGGTGATTCTTGAGTAGAAATGTAGGGTATCAACACTAGAAGTTCAACATAGAATTACCATATGACCCAGAAATTCCATTCCTAGTTCATAGACCCACACAAAGACTTGTACACAAATGTCCATAGCAACACTACTCACAATAGCCAAAAGGCGGAAATAATAATGTCTATCAATGGATGAATGGATAAATAAATGTGGTATTATCCATACAATGGAATATTATTCAGCTATATAAAGAAATGAAGTACTGATACATGCTGCAAGGTAGATGAACCTTGAAAGCATTCTACTTGAATGAAAGAAGTCAGACAGAAGGTCAAATATCATATGTGCCTGTATCTGTTAGGATAAAGTTCACAGAGACACAAAGCAGATTTATGATCGCTAGAGGCTAGAGAAGGGGAGGCTGGGTTGGACTTACTGGGTGTGGGGTTTCATTTTGGGGTGTTGAAAATGTTCCAGAACTAGATAGGGGTGATGGCTGCACCACATTGTGAATGTACTAAATGTTACTAATGGTAAGTTTTTTTGTGTGTATTTTGCCACAATAAGAAAATAACTATTAATCCATCTTGAATTAGAAAAACTAGAGGAAGCAAGACAGAAATGCAGAGTGAAATCATGCTATCGCCTGTATCCGCAGGGAACTCATCAAGAGCAAAACCAACACTAGTAAAACTAGTGATCATGGAGTGAGATATGAAAGGTATGGAAGCATCTGTGTATTCACTTCTGAAGCTGCGAGGTCTAATTTTCACTTGCAAGTTTCTCCTCTTTGATACTGTCCAAGGTGCTGGCCTTCTGAGAAGAGGCAGCTGTCACTGTTTGCAATGTGAGTCCTAGACTCACGCATGTTCCCTTTTTTTTTTTAAATTTAAATACAATTTAACGTCCTGGGCACCTCATAGAGATGTCTTTTTTGTCGGTTCAACCATATGAGTTTATTGAGATCTTATTAGATGCCTGGTACTTTTCTTAGACAGGTTTCCCTGGTGGCTTAGATGGTAAAGAATCCACCTGCCAATCTAGGAGAGCTGAGTTCAGTCCCTGGATTGGGAAGATACCTTGGAGAAGGAAATGGCAACCCACTCCATTATTCATGCCTGGAGAATTCCATGGACAGAGGAACCTGGTGGATTATAGTCCATAGGGTCATAAAGAGTCAGACACAACTGAGCAACTAACACCACCACTTTTCTGAGACTTATCTACCACACTTAAGTATATGTTAATGGTAAATCTAACAGCTAAGTTTAACTAGTCCTATGTGTCAGAGTCTCTGCCAAAGTCATTATTTACCTTCTCATTGGATTCTCAGAACAGCTCTCTGAAATAGGTACTGTCAGTAATTTGCATTTTACAGATGAGAAAATTGAGGCTCAGAGAACTTAAGAAAATGGCCCAGCTGCTAGATGGCAGAGGCAGGATTCAAAACACGAAGCCTCCGAACGCCGAAGTCCCAGTTCTGAACCATCCCACATAGTAAACGAGAAGCATCAGCAAATGCCGGGTGTTGTTACCCCCATGCAAACCAGAAAAACATCCATTAGAAAGCACAAATTACACCATCTTCCTCTCTTCTGCAGATCCCCTATTTATAGAGTGCCCAGTGGATGCTATTTCTAACTTAAGCTAGAAGGTTTTCTTTGAAAGTTTCAATCTGCAACTTAAAAGCGAAGCAAGAGAAGAAAAGAGCTGGGAGTGCACTTCACCAAAAGCTGTCCTGAAATCTCAGAGCAAGGACACAGGAGGAGAAAGATTACCATCTTATTAGCGTAGGAGGATAAAGATGATCAGGCAGGGGAGCTCCATTATTTATAGGAATCCAGCTCTTTTCTATACACTTCACTGAGGCATTTGATATATTTGTGCTGGAGATTAACACTGATGTTATTTTCTTTAATGTCTGTTTTTAGTGTATGCAATGCATGTTGGCATTCAGGAAATTCAGCCAGAGGAGAAAAACAATAGTATTAATTAGGAATGTCAGTCATGGGTGTTATGAAATTCAAAACTGCCAAGTTTCTGGAGTATTTAGTGGTAATTATAATAGACTGTGGAGACAAGCTGTTCTCCATTTCCTATACAGAAATGCACAGTTTGATGGGCAAGTGATCAAAGTGCTAATGCAAACCTTTGTGATAGGGGTGCCTCTTTCACCCTGTTATTTTTAGGACTCGAAGCTTTTGCTAATTCAGAGCTGCCCAGAGCGAGGAGACCATCCAGTGGATATAAGACTCCTTGTCTTTTTATAATTTAAAATTACTACTCAATTTTTTCCCACTATATTCATGTAAGTTGGAGTGTGTGTGTTTGGTGGCAGGGGAGTGGCGTGGGGTGGTAAATGATACCACCCACCAGCCTGGCAGAATATTCAAATTTAAATCACAGCCATCGCCTTTTCCCAGGTAAAAGTCATACATATAATCAGTTTTCTCTCAAAGCGATGAATAATAAAAGCCCATGCTGTGTTCTTTGGATAACCCAGTTAAATGGGTAGAGAGATTTGCATTTTTGAGAACTGAAATAAAAGAGGTGGTACTCCTATGAATTTTCTCAGATTTCTAGTTAAAAGTCTATGGGTTTTTAATTTGTTTTGGAATATTTGCATCAGTCTAGATGCTGGGAATGGACCAGGTGGAACCTTAGGGATGTGAATGTTCCATTGTCAGTACCGTAATTCCTTATATCACCTTGGATGAGCCTTAGAATGGCCCTCTGAGGCTATCTGGGCAGATCCCAGCCCAGTTTCTGATGCAAAAACTCAGTTTCGGGGATTATGAAACTTGCCCAAGGGTGATTCAGATGCTAAGTGTCCAGAGGGCTCCTGACTTCCTGCCTGTCATTTTCTGTACCTCACTCTCCTGCTTCCTGCCCTTTCTGGACACCCCACAGGGCCTTTGCCCATGCTGTAAGCGATATCTGTTATGCTGAACTTCTTGAGTCTGGCTTTGGGCATATTTCTTTCTTAAAGGACATACACTCCCCTCCAGACCCTAGAAAGGACCCAGCTTACAGGAAAGGGTAAGTGTGCTATGTTACCTACAAGACTGCGTGGTGGTGGTGTTCAGATGCTCAGTCATGTCCAACTCTTTGTGACTCCATGGACTGCAGCACGCCAGGCTTCCCTGTCCTTCATATCTCCTGGAGCTTGCTCAAACTCATGTTGGTGATGCCATCCAACCATCTCATCCTCTGTTGCCCCCTTGTCTTCCTGCCCTCAATCTTTCCCAGCATCAGGGTTCTTTTCCAGTGAGTCAACTCTTTGTATCAGATGGCCAAAGTGTTGGAGCTTCAGCTTCAGCATCAGTGCTTCCAATGAATGTGCAGGGTTGACTTCCTTTAGGATTGACAGGTTTGATCTCCTTGCAGTCCAAGGGACTATCCAGAATCTTTACTTGACTGCTACTTCCCCTGATTATTTTTTTAAAAGTCAAACAGGGTGCCAAGAGTAAGTCATATTGTCGCAGGAAAGAGCACGGCCATGAAAGAGCCAGAAACATCCATCTCTGAATTTCTTTTTTTTTTTGTAATCACTGCTTCCATTAGCTGGAGATAATGATGTCAAGAGGGGAAAACTCTAGCTGTTTTGAGTTGCCTGTAATTTGTGTGACTTACAGGAAGCCTGGCTAAATTCGATGGTATCTGATGTTTCTGGACAGATGTTTAAAATAAAGGAGGCATGATAAGAAGTCCTCTGCTATATATGTGTGTCTCCGGGTTTTGTTTTTAATAATTAATAGAAAGGTCCTTCTTTATCCTGAACTTTTTCAGAAATAATTGGGGAACTTGGGGTTGGGCCAGTAATTACAGAGGCAATGTGCTGGTCGTGGACAAGCCTCCATTCCAGGGCTGGTGCTTCGGTGGGTAGAACACCCCCACCCCCACCCTCTCACAGCAGTTTGGAAGAGCATCGAACAGTATCTCTGCATCCCTTGGAAAAGCAGGGCACGTTTTCCTGCTGACACACACAAGCCTTATAATTTAGCATTAGAAAAGAAAAATGGTTTAGAACAAGAAAAATATATTTAGAGCTCATTATTCAAGTAGGAGTCTCAGAGAAGGGGCAAGGATGGAGCCAGTCAACAAGAAACAGCTCATATTACAGGGTCAGAAGGAAGCGGGAGCCTGGCACTCAGAAGCCAGGCAGCAAGGGTGACAGGGTCTCGCTCAAGGTCAGCAGTCAGTAAGGGAAGGTGCAGAAGGCTGCTGTCTGCCTAAGTAAACCCGTCCTGAAGACGCCATCCGGAACTAATCCCTTGCATGTCCCCTCCCCTCCCTGGCTCCCAGAGAAGGTCAGTTCACTGTGAATTTCCACATTCCAGCCCCAACAAGGCCTCTGCTTGGCATCCAAATATCGGTGTCACTGTTATCAAGGCCGGAACTGTTGTCCCATCAAACGGAAGGGGTCTGTGACGCAGCAGTTCTGACTCAGTGAAGTCACGTCTGCCTTGGGGTGGAAGGCACTCTCCCCGGATGGATGCAATCCCCCCCCCAACTTTTGACTTGCATTTCTTCAGTCCTCTGCCCCAACTACCTGCTGTGTCCACCTGCCAGCTACCTGTCTCCACCCACTCATTGTTAACAATTTTTGTTTATTTTTAATTGGAGGATAATTGCTTTGCAGTATTGGTTTGATTTCTGCCATACGTCACCATGCATCAGCCATGGATGTGTCTATGACCCTCCCTCTTGAGCCTGCCTGCCATCTCCCACCCTTCCCTACCCCCCCCACCCCAGGTCGTTACAGAGCCCCAGTTTGAGTTCTGTGCGCCACACAGCAGAGTTCCCCTGGTTATCTATGTTACACATGGTCGTGAATATGCTTGCCCGCTACTCTCTCCATTCATCTTTTACTCTGGCTTCCACGCCCTAGCTATTGTACATGGTGCTGCAATGAACGTTGGAGTTCACATCTTTTGCAGTTTTGGTTTCCTCGTGGTGTATGCCTAGAAGCAGTATTGCTGGGTCGTCTGGTGGTCTTATTCCTAGTTTTTTTTCAAGGAATTTCCATACTGTCTTCCATAGTGGCTGTATCAATTTACACGCCCACCAGCGGTGCACGAGGGTTCCCCTTTCTCCACACCCTCTCCAGCAGTTGCTGTTGCCCACCCACTCTTCTATCTTGCACACAAGGGCAGGGGAGTGGGGAAACCCTGCGGGGCCTCAGTACATCCAGAGGAAGAGGGCAAAGAACTCATGCTTTTGGAAGACCTACTGTGTGCCAGGGACTGTGCTGGTTGCTTTACAAATATTATCCACTGCCATATCATATTTATTCCTTGTGTATTCTTCCTATGTGTAGGGCTGTTCCAGGAGGTGGTTAAGCAGAGGGAGATAAAGCAGTTTTATACCCCATTATCAAGCCTAGGATGGGGGGGCATGTAGTTAAGACGGAATTGGCTAGCACACCAAGTGTTAAGATGAATAGATGCGCAGGGCATTGTGAACATCTGTAAAAGCAACTGGATTTAACTTGATTTACGGGCCAGAGAAGCTGCTTCTGAGAACCTGATACTTCTGCTAAGACTCGGGGGATGAATGTGAGTTTTCCTGTCATGTGGTTTCTACTTTCCTCTAAAATGGATACAATCGTCATGTCTATTATGAGCATTATAATACGTATATGAGTATTAGAGGAGTTGCCCACTACTGTGGGGGAGCAGGTTTAGTGATATGTGGTCCCACAGCCAGGGCCAAGTTCACTAAGATGGACCCAGGCTTATTCGACTCTGCGGCCCACCTCTCTTCTGCCAGATTCTGCTTCTTTCTGGAGCTTTCGCATCACGTGTGGAAAAAACCTTGACAAGGGGATTTAGAAAGCGGAGGTAGAGGGGGCTTTCTGGCAGCGCTCATGTTCTGTTCTGCTTAGAACTAGAAGCACCTCATGGTATGCACGGAACTTAATACAGTGGCAAAACATCATCTCTGAGAAATGTTTGCATACAGCTCCTGGTTGGAGACTTGTGTAAATCTGATTTTGGGCCAGCCACATCTCCATCCACACAGTGGAAACTGGTTGGCCTGTCCTCAGGTGCTCAGTTGTGTTGGACTCTTGGCAGCCCCATGGACTATAGCCCACCAGGCTTCTCTGCCCATGGAGTTTTTCAGACAGGAATACTGGAATGGGTTGCCATTTCCTACTCCCGACCCAGAGGTCGAACCTGCGTCTCTTGCGTCTCCTGCATGGGCAGGTGGATTCTTTACTACTAGCACCACCTGGGAAGCCCTGAAACTGGTTATACAGATTCAAAGCCATATGTGCTGGGCTGTTTCATGGTAGGTATTTGAAAACAGCATGTCTTTGGGTCCTAAGGAAAGAGGAGAAGGATGAACAGCACGTGAGTTTCTCCAAGTTTTTCAGAGGCTTTTTACTACAGAATCATTTCTGGGCTTTGGACTGAACATGTTTGTGCTGGAAAAGAGACAGGCATCTCTTTGGGTTTTCAGCCAGGCAGCCACAGATGTGGACATTAGAGAACTCAGCTCACATGCCCAATGGGAAAAATGACAATGGCTTCCCAAACACAGCTGCCTCCTCCTCAGTTGGACCCAACTTTGCCAGATAATGGAAACACAGAAAACAAGGCGCGGGAAGAGCAAGCTGTTTATGTTTAAATGTGGCACTCGAACCTCAACACTGATGCCTTCTTGGAAGGCATCTGGGTGTCATCTCAGAGCCCCCGTGGCTGCTGGGCACCGACGATGGATTCTAAAACTGGGATGTGGCCCATCTGTCAGGGAGAAAAGGGTGATTGATGGCATCTGTTCTCATGTCCTCTCTCTCTGGGGATGGTGTGTGTGGGATTGCTCTGCTCGCCCCCGCCCCTCCACCACATTTCCTCTAGTGGCTCCTGGAAATCACAGACATTCCTTGGAAGTAAAGATGTGGGTAGAGCTCTTGCTGGCCGCAGTTTCAGGAGACTGACCCCCGTTTCTGGGAACATCATCATCTGAGCATGAAGGCTCCATGGGCTAGTCCTTGTCTACAAAGCAGGCCATGATGGGGATCATTTCAAGGATAAAGAGGTCACACCTTTCTGCCCACCCACCCATCTTTCCACTGAGCCACACATCAATCTGTTCATCTATCTGTCCATCTACCTCTTATTTATTAAAATTGCATTTATTAAACAATTATTGTGTATCTGTCACCATACATTGGGTTGCCCTGTTGGCTAAGCAGTAAAGAATCTGCTTGCAATGCAGGAGATGATCCGTGGGTTTGATCCCTGGGCTGAGAAGATCCCCAGGAGGAAGGCATGGCAATCCATTCCAGTGTTCTTGCCTGGAGAATCCCATGGACAGAGGAGCCTGGCAGGCTACAGTCCATAGGGTTGCAAAGAGTTGGACACAACCGAAGTGACTGAGCATGCACCATATGTTGTATATATTACACATACAATTTAGGGAGATGTTAAAATTTAAGGGGCTTCCCTAACTCAGATGGTAAAGAATTCACCTGCAATGTAGGAGATCTGGGCTCGATCCCCGGGTTGGGAAAATCCCCTGGAGAAGGAAATGCAACCCACTCCAGTATTCTTGCCTGGGAAATCCCATGGACAGAGGAGCCTGGTGGGCTACAGTCCTTGGGAATCACAAAGAGTCACACATAACTGAACAACTGAGCACACACACCTAACTGACCTATAGTCTTACTTTAATTTCAGGTGTACATCATGATTCAGTATTTGTATATATTGCAAAATGATCACCATGATAAGTATAAAGTGTCCAGATACTCACTCTTTTTCTCCTCTGGCAGCTTGATGTGGGACTGTGCATACATGCTAAGTTGCTTCAGTCATGTCTGAGTCTTTGTGAGTCATGGATTGCAGCCCGCCAGACGCCTCTGTCTATGAGATTCTCTAGGCACGGATATTGGAGTGAGTTGTCATGCCCGCCTCCAGGTGGTGGTGGTTTAGTCGCTAAGTCATGTCTGACTCTTTTGACACCATGGACTGTAGCCTACCAGTCTCCTCTGCCCAAGGGATTCTCCAAGCAAGAACTGGAGTGGGTTGCCATTTCCTTCCTTCTTGGTGTGGATCTGTGAGTGTGGGCCAATCCAGTGCTTCCTCTTGGCTCCGGAGGGAGAGCTCAGAGCCTGTTCTTGCGGCAGCACCAGCCAGTCAGCACCCTCTGAAGAGGGGAGTGTGGTTCAAATCAGTCTCTTCTGTGGTCATTCTGGTTGCGGTGGCTGGTTTTATTCTCGTCTCTGTGGCAAGTTGGTTAGCAATCCAGTATCCTTCCCTAGAACTCCTTTCCTGATTAAACATATCCCTGCCAGTTTCTATCACTTATAACCAATAACCCTAATCAACATAGGAAGTGAAGAGGTCTGAGTGTGTGCTGGGGGTGGGTGGAGGGATGAGGATGAGGGAGTCATGTGTTTTTGACATTTGAAGTCAAACAAGCTTAAAGAGAGGGTCTTGTCCATGGTCCTGAATGGTGACCTGGTTAATCATTGCTTTCTTCTAGGTGTTTGAATCCCTACCCCAGGAATCTGTTAACCACCAAATGCGGGTGAAAACCTCAGCCAGCTGTCTTCTCTTCCTCTGCACTTCCTACTGCTTATTTCGTTTGGACATATACAGCATGGAGTTTATCTACGTTTGTGTTCTCAGAGGAAGGTGGTGACAAGATGCGCAGGGTGGTGGTCATTAATATCTACTTTGGGTCAGCCCCCTGTTCCAGGACAATTAAATCTGCTTCTCAAAACTCTTTCTCTTCCCGTCCTTATTTTCAAACCCAGCTCACGAGTAAGGGTGGACAGATTCCTGGGAAAGAGCGATGGCTTAATTAATGGTAATGCGAAGGAAGTAGGTGCCTCAGTGATTGGGGCTGTGTGAATGCAGAATTGGATGGAAGGCTGAGATGCAAAATGGGATAATTGAACTGTTAGCTGAACTGGAATTTAGCAGTTAATCACTTTTATGGAACCTGCATCTCAATTCATTACTCCATTTATGCCTTGTTGCAGTACAGAGCCGTTCAGCTAATTGGTAAACAGGAGCTAAGCAGTGGAGCCCAGAAAGGGCAAGGCCATCAGAGGTGCCATGATATTTTCTGTGAGTGCATATCTCCATTCCGTCCAGCCAGGAATTGCCTGTCAGCCTGGGTTCAGGTAGGCACTAATAGTGAATAGCGCACCGTAGTGAAGTCATGTTCGTACATCCCAAACAGAACTGCTGATCATCAATTCTGTCTCCTGAAGTCCTTTATCCAATTAATACCTGGTAATGAACTTTTTAGTATGGTGTTGAAGGTAATGGCTTTTGGGAAGAGCATTCCAAATTAGTGATAGGACTGTACATAGATTCCCTGTGTACCACCGGAGAAACCAGTCTCCCCTCGGAACCTCTGTTTCAGTTGCCCCTACCTCAGGCGTGCTCTGGTGAGGCCTCTATGGGGCACCTTTCTAATGAGAGCAACGTGTCTGTGATGGAGCCTGGCATAAAGTGTATGTGTTCAGTCAATGCTAGCTGTCACTGTTATCTATCACCTAGAAATCCTTTTTTGCTTGTTTATTTGTTTTAAGAAAAGGAGGAGTCAGGAAATAATCTCTCTCATATGTTTATTGAATCAAAGACAGAAAGCAAAGGGGGAATTAGAGTAAATAGCTGATTGATTTAGCAGAAGTTTATCAACAGGGACTTCAACAAAAAGGATGGGCCTTTTAAGGGACTGACTAGGAACAAAGTCAAGTGTAAGGGCATGAAGCTTGGATTGGAGGTGTGGATACAGGACATCATCAATAAACCTTTCGTTATTCTGAGGGGCAGTCTTAATGAAAACAGGGCCTTAGTCTCCTGAAGATCTGCTCACTTTGTTTGATGGAGGAATAAAGAGGCCACATTTGAAAATAAAATCTTCATTTTGACACTAAGACTGTTATACCCCAATATCTTAGTGAACTTTCTCTTCCTATTTAATTTCAGAATTCTCAGCCCCCCTCCCACCCCGTGTGTCTCTCTCCTAGAATGTAGACTTGAAACCATGGGGGCTAAGTTACACATGGATCTAAGAGAAGGACTCAACTGTGTACTTGAAATTGCCTGTAATGACGAAAGCTTTCACATTGAGTCAGGCTATAGGTTGCTGATTGCCTTGTAAACACATTTCTATTACGTCCCAGCAGGAAGGTCTGCTGGAGGCACGCAGTTGACAGCCAAGAGTGTAGGTGGTAGGAGTCCCAGCAGGGGGAATGAGGGAGAAGGTGTTGAGAAGGAAGGAACTATCTGAGGTCACAACCTTGAGGAGCTATCAGAAGCATTGGACTCTTGTGAAAACATTTTTGGACTTGGAAGATGCTTATATTAAGATGGCTCACCATTCATTCCCACATTCACCAAGTGTTTGTTGAGAACCTGCTATATTCCAGTCATAGTTCTAAATGCTTGATATGACTAATAGACAAGGTCCCTCCCTCTAGGGCTTGCATTTGTAAGGGTAATTAGATTATACAATTAGCAACCATAAGCAAGATAAACTTGAAATGTCATAATGTCGCTGACCTGTGGCGCTACAGAAGACCCTTGAGAGTCCCTTGGACAGCAAGGAGATCAAACCAGTCAATCCAAAATGAAATCACCCCTGAATATTCCTTGGAAGGACTGATGCTGAAGGTGGAGCTCCAATACTTTGGCCACCTGATGCGAAGAGCTGATTCATTGAAAAAGACCCCAGTGCTGGGGAAGATTGAGGGCAGGAGGAGAAGGGGGCGCTAGAGGATGAAATGGTTGGATAGCATCACTGGCTCAATGGACAAGAGTTTAAACGAACTCTGTGAGATAGTGAAGGACAGAGAAACCTGAAATGCTGCAGTACATAGGGTCACAAAGAGTCAGACATGATTTAGTGACTAAAAAGCAACAACAAAAGTCTCTGAGGCAAAGAAATAGGGTAAAGCAATGTTTCTAGGGAGGACCTCTTAGATAAGGTGGCCAGGAAAGAGAGACCTTTCTGGGGGAAAAAAAGATTTTATCTGAGACCTGTAGGATTGAAAAGATCCAGTCATGCTAAGAGCAGTGAGGAGGGGGGATGTTTCAGGCAGTGCTATGGCATGTGCAAAGGCCCTGAGGTGGAAATAAGCCCAAAGCGTATGCAGAATATATAGAAAGATTCATCCAGCTGAAGAGGAGTTGAGTGCTCTGAGATGAGTCTGAAGGAGGTATAACTTTAAAGGCCACGGTAAGGAGGTTGAATATCTTCCTGTGTGCATTGGGAAGCACTCACACATCTTACCCTTGTTGAAATGCATGAGCACTGGGTCTAGAGGGCTGTGATGCATGCACTCATGTAGGACACAACCATAGTTTGATTTCAGATGACTGTTTCATGTCAGGCACTGGGGTATGCAACACTGAAAGCTATTAATGTAAATTGATGATTGCTCCTGCTGGCTTTGTTACAGTTTACTCCAATGAAGGATTAATAAATGTGTCATGCCTTGCAAATTTACATCCATTAAAAACCTTACCATCATGGGAGTACCACTGATCCCCTTTTGGGGGGGGGTGTCCTAAGATTAAAAAGGAACACCATGCTGCTGTCACAAGTAGTATTCAATATAAACTGGTTAAAATGAGGTCATTGATGGGAAAGCACTTTAAAAAGAGACTGTAATTATGAGGCGGTGCTTGAGATAAGCATGACATTCACAGTCTAGGTACTTCTGACACATACTTGCAGTGGAAGAGATTACCATTTGTTAATCTATGACTCATGCCAGGAGCTCTCTTAAATGTAATTACTTTTCATCCTCATAACCATGGGAGGTAGGTATTATCCCCATTTTACAGATCATGCAACTGAGTTTCATAATAGAGAAATAATTGGCCCAGAATCTCACAGTTAGGGACAGGAAGAGCTCAAGTTTTTATCCAAGATTGTCTGACTCTAATAACACTGCATTGAAAGAGAGGTATCTAAATCCTCAGCGGCCACACACTGAGTTGATGGAAGCGTTTGAGAGGTCCTTGAATTTTGCTCACCGGAACTGACAACCAGCTATGTGAACTATATTACTGCTCTTTCTTTAAAAGTGAGAACTCCACATTTCAAAGACTGGCTGCAGTAAAACGTCGGGTGAAATGCAGAGCCTTGTAACTCATGGAGGTGGGTATGAGTTCTGGCTCTGCTTCTTGCTTGAAGTCTGTGGACAAATTATTTAACCTCTTTGGGACTCTGCTCATTCATTATAAAATGGGAATAGTAAGAGCACCTATCTCTTAGGGATGTTGTAAGGATTTACTGAGATAAGGCATGGAAATTGCTTAGCACCATGCCTGGTGTATAATAAGCTCTTACTAAAAGCTACCTATTATTTTTCCCTTCCCATAGAGATTTGAACAATATAATATAAAGAAAGTAAAATTTATTGTTGCAATGGCCATATTAACAGCCACCATTTTGTTGGAAGAACAGACAAGGCAATGATTTTTTTGATTTTGCTGAAGTGTGGAAAAAATTCCTGAAGTCTCAGATTCTTTGAACCTGAGTTTTTCAGCCTTGGATGCAAAACTGAATCACTTGGGGGAGATTTTGATAAATACTAGGAGTCCCTCTTGAGATATTCTGAGTTGGTTGCTCTGGGGTGGAGCCTGAGTGCTGACATCTTCTAAAGCATCCTGGGTTGAGAAGTTGAGAACCACTGCTTTCTATTGACTGTAGAGTCTAGAGGTCATGGGGTGACTTCCCTCTGCTTTGCCAGACTTGACTTAGTTGGGACAGATGGGTGACACCACTGTAATGTTATATCTCCCTCGTGGCAATGGTTCTTCTCTCTGTTACAGCCACTTACTCTGTGTGTGCGTGTCTGTGTGCATGTGTGTGTGTGTGTGCCTGTGCCTGCCTGTCTGCCACTCTTCCAGGGCTAGCCTCATGCAAGCATAGATTTCTCTAGGTTCTCTCAAAGCCTTCCAAGGAAGGAAACCTGTTTATAAAAATGACCCCACTACTTAGTGACTCCTGGGTGTGTTTTAAATGGGATGCAGAGTTGGGTGTGATTCAGCCTTTTCAATCAGCTTCTCCCTCAGCAGGGAGCCACTGAAGTCATCCAATTATCCTTCAGAAACATCACTTCACACCTATAATGAAGTGTATCGGAATGAAGTCTTGGCTGGTATACCTGGGTCCTGTCCTGGGTTGTTTATATTTATTTACATTTTCAGCTTGCTCAGGAGTATTTGGTTCCCTGGGTTGCGATTCAAATGAGCCTTTAAATATTTTTATGTGATGCTGCTGAGTTTGAGTTCTAGGCATCAGGGAGCGCCAAAGCGCAGGGCAGCAGCGATTTATGTGGTTTCCCAGATACAGATAGACCGAGGCATTAAGGACCGGGGGTGGGCAGCCAGCCTGTGCTTGGCTTCATTATGATCCAGCATAAAGTACGTGTGATAGAGGCAGGAGTGGTTCTCCTCCCAGCCAAGATGAACTGGTCTCATAAGCAGACATGGAGACACGAGGAGACACGTATGTGTGGGGGATGGTGTGCCTTCAGCAAGATCAGCAGCAATTGGAACCACGTAAGTTGGATAACTATACTCTGCAGCGCCAGGAGGCAGGTATCGCCAACCTATTAAGGACGTCATTGGCGTTTTGATTGGACATCCAGAAATTGATGCACTGCCTTTGGTTCTATTATGCTTTCAAACTTTAATTAAGTTTATACCTCTCCCACCTGGACCTCATAAATAGT